TTATTTAGACAGTGCATTTTTTAGACATTTATTTAGGCCTAGGCCTAGGCAGTTTTTCATAGGACCAGGCCTATAACTAGGCCTATAGTATACTATTATTAGTAGGCCTAGGGGCCTAGTCTAGGTCTATTATTATGAAAAAAAAAATGCACTAGCACAATTAATGTGACAAAGTCGCCATGGCATGGCATGACAAGTCTAGGCTAGGCTAGTAGTAGAAACCTACTAACTTTACTGTCAGCTGGATAAGGCTGCGTGCGAACTTACCTGCTGCGGGACTGGAGCAGTGTCCCGGACAGGAGTGCGCTACTGCTGCTGGATAGACACTGACTGTGCTAATCCTAGGCATAGGTGTAGGCCTAATTATAGTGGGCGCTGCACAGTGGCGACCTGTTGACAATTGCTCCCTTAGAATTTCACTTTTTGATCGTTTTGTGAATTTATCTGTGATTTTTTGATGGAAGATAAGTGGTCTTTACCTTTTATTTTGTCAAACAAGTGGATGTATAGGTGCTCGATTGTGATTTTCTTGATACTCACGAGAGTTTTTATCGTTAGGTATGTATCAACCACCAGGAAATCGCTATGTTGTGAGATACTCAAAGACGGAACTGATCGAACTCTGCCACAAGCAAATTGGTAAGCCTTTAGGCTACATTAGCTTTCCCCCTGAAATTAAACTAAAAACTCGGGGTAGTAATGGTGGAAAAAGAGTTAAATCATGTAATAGAAAATACAAACTACCATTACCCAGCATTGTTATAGGGAATGTTAGGTCACTTCAAAACAAAATGGTGGAATTACGAGAATGTACTCGGTATTTGTATGAATACCGTGAAGCGAACGTAATTTGCCTGTCGGAAACCTGGCTGAACGAGAATATTCCCGATGAAGCTGTTTGTATCGAGAACTTTGACTTAATCCAAGGAGACAGAACGTTTGAATCCGGTAAAACAAAAGGAGGAGGTGTCGTTTATTTATAAATAGGTCATGGTGTACAAACTGGTCTCTGAAAGAACGCCTATGTAATAAGGACTTAGAACTCATTACAGTCGGCCTGCGACCTTTTTACCTCCCCCGAGAGTTTAATAACATTTTTTTCATTGTGGCTTATGTTCATGACAAAGCAAGTAATAAAGATGCTGCAAAGGAGATAGCAAAAAAGGTATGTGAGATCGAAAATAAATCACCAGATTCCCCTATTTTTATTGTGGGAGATCTAAATAAATGTTGTTTGGAAAAAAATCTTCCTTCATTTAAACAGTTTGTTGATAAGCCTAAGTCTAGGCAAAATAACATTCTCGACAAGTGCTATGCTCAATCCTGGTGTAAATTTAAAACGAAAATTTGTTCTCAACTTGGACGTTCTGATCATTGCATGGTTATGATGATACCTGTATATAAACAAAGCATCAAGAGAATTAAACCGGTCAAGAAACATTGATTTGGTCGAATGACTCTATTGAAGAACTTCGCGGCGCATTTGAATGCACTGATTGAGAGTAAGAATGGCAATATAAATGAAACTGTGGAAGCTATTTGTAGCTACATTAAGTTTTGTACTGACTCTATTATCCCAAAGAGAACCAAAAAAATTTATCCTAACAACAAGAAATGGTTCTCGAAAGAACTACAGGCATTGATGAAGGGAAAAAAAAGCTGCTTTTTCAATGGGACAGGTAGATATAGTCAGAGAAAAACAAAAACAGATTGAGTCAGAAATTAAAAGAAATAAAACGAAATATAAAGAAAAGCTAGAGCAAAGCTTTAAGAAGAATTATTTCAAATCAGCATGGAAAACAATGCAGGACGTCACTGGCTACGTCAGTAAAAACAAAAATACGCCATGTAATCAGACAGTACATCAACAAGACAAACTTAATGACCTTAATGATTTCTTCTGCCGTTTTGATCAACATGATCTTGCCAATAACCAGGTTCTCAGGACATGCTGTAATCAACTTTCATCCATCTTCTGTAAAGTGTTTAATAAATGTCTAGAACTTGGAAGAATTCCAAAGATTTGGAAAACATCAGAAGTCAGACCGATCCTGAAAATTAAAAACCCTGTAATACAAAATGATCATCGACCAGTCGCTATCACCTCTAATGTAATGAAGTGTTTTGAGAGAATTATTTTGAAAATACTTAAGGATATGGTCCATTTTGATCCTACACAGTTTGCCTATCGACCCAAAAGAGGAATTGATGATGCCATCATATAATTTCTTCATAATATCCTGCAACACATCGACGCCAAAAACACTTTTGTAAGGGCACTTTTTGTTGATTTTTCGAGCGCGTGTAATTGTTTACAACCGCACTTGCTGATCAATAAGCTTCGCGACATGGATATTAATCCAAGTTTCTCGTTTCTTATTATGGACTTCCTACAACAACGTGGATCTGTATTTTTTGTAACGACTGTATAAAATTGCTATTTTAAACTTAAATAATGTACGCTTTTAGGTAATATATTTTAATCTTTAATTAATTCTACTTGTTTTTGTAAAACTTGATTCAAATTTGACTTTTGTGATTTTGTAGTTTTGAGCTTGTCAACGAAACAAATTTCCCTTTTTTGGACTAATAAAGTTTCTGTATTCTGTATTCTGTATAAACAAACAAGTCATCGGACTGATATACGTTTATTAATTCAATTGAATTATTCCTCCATGATTGAATTGACGTTGACTAAACCGTCTCTCTCTATAACTGCGTATGTAAACGATCACAAAAACTCACGACTTCACACTAGTGTATTGTAAGTATTCTAGTCGCTCGATCGTCGGGACGATTTTTCGATCAGCTGCTCGCCAAAATTGACGGACTTGTCTTGAATATTAATGAGTTGGTTAGAAAATGCTATCAAGCTACTAAAAAAAGAAAGAAAAAGGCCCTAAGCCCTAGTGGTAACTAATGGTGTCGTGTGTGCTCATAAACTCGGCCCCAAGTCAACTCAGCCCCAAGTCAACTCGGCCCCATGTCAACTCGGCCCCAACTCAACTCGGGCCCAATTTATCTGGGCCCCAAGTAGTCAACTCGGCCCCAATTTACTGTGTATTTACAAAATACCGATAATACCAAAAACAATTTGAATGCAAAGCCGAAATATGCCAAAATTTAAGTGTTTTAAATCGTTGCCTTTGTTATTTCTTTTTCATTTGAATCCACATAACAATATTAAAAATAGGATAAGGCTCCAAGCGGGAGCATGTGGCCATGCCAGATGTGTATAAGAGACAGGTTTACATCAAGCGAACGTGGAAGTAGTATTGCAAGCAGCATGTACCGTCATGGCTTCGAATCGAAATAAAGTTTGAGATAATGAAACAGAAAGGAGATTTGCATTTGCCTTAAATAGGGCAAAATGTTTGAATCTCACTGTCGATGATTTTGTAGGCTAAGTGACAAATATTTTGAAGAAGGAACGACGTCGGAGCCAAAAAGAGAAGGACGATTTTAGCGACGATCATCATGATGGAGGACAGACGATCGTGCCCACAAGACGATCAAGCCGAGACGATCGGGCCCAATTTTGAATAGGGACTGGCTATACGTACAGCGGCTGTGTATACATGATTTAAAAAGCTCGTTTTTTAAAAAAGAATCAATTTTTCGGTCTTTTGTTCGTGATTGTTTGCACAGTGTGGACGCATTATTTGACGATTTGATATTAAAACACATTTACTATTGTATATCTATGCTGTGCGTATAGCCTTGTCCTTTTGAATATGGGCCTGTTCGTCCTGAAAATGGGCCCAATCGTCCTGGGCTCGATTGTCTCGTGGGCCCGATTGTCTTTAGGCAAATTGAATATTGGGCCCGATCGTCTGTTGGCAAAATTTCCAAAACCATATTGGCTTGCCTAGGTCAATTTCTGCCTATGACACTCTTATAATAGAATTGGCTTGCTAACTTAAAAGTAATAGTTCAACCGCTTGACTGCTACTCTATTTTGCACATCTTACCCCCCCCACCCAACCGCCAGGAAAAGCTTCACACTTCCCCTCCCACCACCACACTATTCCCACATTAAACACACAGCTATCTCCTTATATTATTGGTTGTAATCACTCCAGGTTCCAAGAAGGCAGCAATAGTTTAAAGAAACCACATGCGTAAATAATTACTATTGCTTGATTAAAATATGACGTCATTTCAAAATGACCTCCATCTCCCCCTTCCCCGGGGTATGACTTAGAAATTTGGCATGCTGAGACATGAAAGTGGTAGTTCAACTTCCTGATTGCTACTGAAATTCTCACATCTTATCCACTGCCCAACTGCAACACGCACTGTTACCCTCACCCCACCCCCAGTCGCACACTGTCACATCCCCTACCCCCATTCTCAACATCTACAAGTATTTCCTCATATTCCTTGGTTGTAAATATCATTCTAGGGTTTTCTAAGAGGACAGCTATAGTTCAAAAAACCACATGAGACAATAATATCCATTTTGTATAGTTATAATATGACGCCATTTTAAAATGGCTGCCATTCCCCTCCCCCGGGGGGTACAACTTTGAAATATTTGGTACTTGTTCCTCTACCTTTGCACAACGTCTGTGCAAAATTTGGTTTTGGTAGGCCTACAAGAAGTACTGGTTGCTAAGGTATATTATTGGTATACACTTGCAATATCCTTCAAATTTAAGTATGGTTAATTTCATTAGCCTTTTTCTCAAAACCTCAAATGTTTATTTCTGGAAGTTAGTAATTATTCAAATGGCCGTAGAATTGCTTCCAGATTTCCGATTGAAATGGTTTAATCACCATTTTAAATCTCGTAATGTGTTCTATAAGACTATAGCAAAATCTAATTTTTGACTAGGTATGAGTTTACAGCCATTTCGTGGTAGCAGGTCACAATTATCGTTACATCTCAACATTTTGAATTTTTTATTAGTATTTTTCCCGAACTCAGGAAAGGTTAAATAAGCAATATATGGCCACTTGTCTCATCCTCGCACACCCCCTTTAATCACTTTACTCACCATATCCCAAGGTTGCCCTTAAAATCTCCAGTTGCTAATTCTCGTTGACTCAAACTACTGGCTCCAAATGTCCCACACCTGAACGGCACATCTTTCTCAATCTGTGGGAACAATACCAAGCTACTAATTTTATATGCTGTACAAACATTTTTCTAAGACACCAGTGTTTCACGAAAAACTTGCGAATGATTAATGAGACAGAGATTTTGGAATTTAAACATCTGCAGCAGGCCCGTAGCCAGGTTCTTCCAAGGGTGGTTTTTCTGGGCGTGAAGTCCACGTTCGATGCCCCGGTGGGGTCGGCGAAACCCCAAAAGCAAGGGGATTTTTGTGCTTTATGGGCCTAATTAATGCTATAAAAGCAGATATGTTTGAAAAGGTCTTTGTCTAGGTGGGTCTGCAGTGCATTAGTTGGGTTGGAGGACTTATTTGGGAAATTTTGAAGAGGGGGGTTCGCCACAAAAGAAGGGGGTTTGCTAGAAAAGTGAGTTCTCCCGAACCATAAAAACTCCCCCTGGATACGGGCCTGTGCAGAACTCACTGATCATTTTGGAAGTTAAAATCATTAAAAACCAGCACACCGTTTAAAAGTTATTGGCCCTTAAAGATGGTGAAAAGGGTGTTTTTTTTCTTAACCAGAATTTAAAGCATATTATTTGGAGGACCATAATTTCAAAAATAACCACAGAAAATGTCAATTTATTACATATTCCCTAGATGTTAGGGAGTTTGTGCATCACTTTTTTCTGGGTCATTCCTTAATGTCGTTTTTGAAATATGGGCCCTTAAGTCTGGTCCCATGTTAATTTGTACCCATTTTTCTTGTTTCTCAAAAATGGCAAGTACGGCCATTTCAACAGTCTTTGGAGAACATCGTCCCCAAAAAGTGCTATGCTCCAATTAGACGTCAAATTTGAGAAATAAATATACTGCAGATGCTTAATCAAATATTATTATTTAAAACTTACATTATATTTTTTTACCAAAATTCTGGTGATAAGTAATAAAATAATAAATAAGAAAGAAAAAGGCCCTAAGCCCTAGTGGTAACTAATGGTGTCGTGTGTGCTCATAAACTCGGCCCCAAGTCAACTCAGCCCCAAGTCAACTCGGCCCCATGTCAACTCGGCCCCAACTCAACTTGGGCCCAATTTATCTGGGCCCCAAGTAGTCAACTCGGCCCCAATTTACTGTGTATTTACAAAATACCGATAATACCAAAAACAATTTGAATGCAAAGCCGAAATATGCCAAAATTTAAGTGTTTTAAATCGTTGCCTTTGTTATTTCTTTTTCATTTGAATCCACATAACAATATTAAAAATAGGATAAGGCTCCAAGCGGGAGCATGTGGCCATGCCCTATACTGCCTTACCAGTACTCTAATAAAGTATCCACATGGAATTTGGTTATCAGGAAATGTGTGGTGTATTTTTTATGACTTTCGTACAGTAATAAGGTACTAGTCACAAATGACCCATCATGCACCTCCACCAGATACACCCTTTTCGTCATCTTTAATTGCCAGATCTTAACATAGTGCCTTTGCCCCCGAGGGGACATAGACCCAAAAACTGTATTAATAAAAAAATATTTAAATAACCTTAATAACAACAATATAAAAAGTTAAAATACTGTATAACTCATCATAACTCGAGGGCTAATATAGCCCAAACCTTACAAGCATTCACCAAAGTTTAGGTCGATTGCAAGGCAATTAAAATTGAAATTATTCACTATGAAATGTTGTAATGTATGTAAGGTGATACTATGTGGTTAACTACAATTACTGGTGCTTAGAAGTGTAATCTGCTAATCCGTTATTTGATTTTTTTTTTTTTATTTTTTTTTTTGGGATAAGCAAGCAGCGACTAATACACGGTTTCAATAAATGCAGCAAAGATGGCATTTCGAACTGTGTAATTTTTTTTTTCTTCAACATCTTTATTACTTTTTTAAAAAGAGTGCAACTAAAAAACTTTTTCTTTAAATAATATATAACCTATAGTAACAATTATTATAATGAAAAGCACATTACATTTTAGGCAAGGTACAGTATGATTTTTTTCTGTGAAACTGAACACTGTAAGTTTAATACAGAACTAAAAAATAGCACAAAATGTGCTATATTATATTGATTTAGAGTTTTTTCTATTCAGTTTACCTGCTATGTCCAATAAGGGGATTTTCGCTTCATTGGCAATGTTTTCATATGTTTTTTTGAAGTGTTCTTGTTGTCTCTTATACACATCTAGATGTGTATAATAAAACAATAGCAGATGAACTTGGTTACTTCATATCTTTAATCGCTACAAATTTGTTTCATATGACCACGCAGGGCCACACTCATTAGGCGAATTGTAAAACATGAATGAATATATATATATATATATATATATTTAGTTTTTTAAACAGAAGTTCAGAAGACGATGCAAATGAAGCCAAATCAATATTTCTGTTTTATATACAGACCCAAAAAATATATATATATTTAGTTTTTTAAACAGAGGTTCACAAGACGATACAAATGAAGCTAAATCAATAATTCTGACAACACATTTTCGAAGGTAATCTATCCAGGTTCGAGGAATAGTCACAAGCCCATACTAAGTTAAAATACTGCAAATAAGGAAGAATAAGATAATTGTAAAAAGTAATTAAAGTGTTGCATGGGAAGAATAACTTAAGCCTGTTGATTATGCCTATTAATTTGGATATTTTGCTTGCAAAATAATTTTGGTGTAAATTTTCATCTTGAATACTCCTAAAACACGAAGTAAAAATATTAGATTTGCATTCTATAGGATTTTCATTTAAAATAATACTGAAGTTTGAAAAATTTACATTCTTATGGAGTAGATGTAATAAAATATAGCTAGTCTTTTAAATATTTATTAGAAGCTTATTTGTATTGAACCAAGAACCAATATTTTTTAAGTCATTAAAACGCATTGAACAAAACATTGAGGTCTTCATTTGAATAAAAAAAAAAGTTGTATCATCGCTGTCGGCAGAGGATACCAACTGGAGGGTGTCACTAATTCTACTCAAGTCGTTGACATATTAAGAAAAGTAACGGTTTGATATCATCTGATCGAAAAACTAAGAAAAATTGGCCCTATCAAAAATGCATTTGGGTACGAGTTTGCCATAAGTCATGTGTACCAGATCACCAATCGTGTGTGGGTCATTCTTCGCTAATGTGCCATTTTCCAGTCCCTCTGTTTTAATGTAGTATAAATTTTAAAATATTAAAGGAAATTTTATTTTTATTGCGTTAACAGGGCTTGAAATTAACTTTTTTTTCTTGGTAGCACTGCCAAAATTTTCTGGCACCCCCCAAAAAAATTTGGTAGCACAAGTAATTTTTTTAGTAGCACATATTTCCCCATCCTTTTCGCATCCCCTAAGATAATAAGCACTGCGCAATATTTTATTCTTTATATTTATATAACAAACCCCCACCCACCCATACCTACACTGTCCCCATGGATTATTATGCAAGAAAGAAGACATATAAGAAAAAGAGAAAAGATTTTTAAAAATTAAAAAAAAAAAAACAAGAAAAATAATAAATAAGAAATAGCAGAAGGAAGGAAAGAAAAAAAAAAGAAAAGTAAAATGGTGGAAAGAAAATGACAATGAAAAAACTAAAAGAAAGGTAGGTATCAAAAATGAAATAAGAAAAAGGATGAAACAATATTTTTAAAAAAATAGATATCAAAGGGATAGTAAAGAAAAAAGGTGCAAGGTAAAAAATTCAACCTAACTGGAAGGAAAGGGAAAGTATTTCATGGAAAGTTTCAATTGTTAGGAATATTTCAAATTTCTGTTAATTATTAACAGATATACAAAATATAAAAAAGAAAAACATGAGCAATAATAATGTACTAGCTAAACTGTCTAGTCAATGGACTGCCAAAATCTGCAGTTACTTAAGTGGATTGATATATTGATTATAAAATTATTAATTATTTTTACTGAAACATTAATTATATTTTCTGTACACTTTCTTTAAATTTTTCAGTATTTTCCTTCATTTGTGCAGGAAATTTCGAGAAAATAGGTCCGCAGAATCGCATTAACACTGCAAATGCCTATACATTGGTCACAATAGCCACCGGCCGACTTTACTGCAACATTTGCGCGGAAATTGGCAGACTTATTTTTAATATGCGTGGATGGAATTTTTTCTTTATGAGATAACTCTAAATCAATTTACACATAATAATTTCAACCTAAACAGAGTTCCAGAGTTTTCACCAACATTTCGGGAGTGCTGAGAATCCAGCTCCCCACTTGTCAAAGGCCATTTAGGCTTCGTTTTAAGCCCGAAAAATTGGCATCACACAGTCGGCCGGCGACACTTCTAATTTAGGTTATAATGTAGCCTAGAACATGGGCCTGTACAACTTCAGCAAAGTATCTTATACCTACATATATAATGATCTATAGTTTCATTTTCTTGTTCAATGGTTGTTTTTATTGAGAATTATTTAAAAAAAAAAAATGGTAGGCCTACCAACTTCGGAACTTCAGTATTAATCGCCAGAGAACATCGTCACACTTCTAGTGTTTACAAATTAAGGTTTCGCGGAGTAACCAGGGCTCGAAATTCACGCTAGCAAACTAGCAATTTGCTAGTAGGTGTGTCATAATTGCTAGGTAAAAATTCACAAACCAGCAAATTAAAAAAAATGATTGCTAGTTGAAATATACAAAATATCTTGTACAGTAATTAGCCTAGTATTAACTAAAACTAGACTAAACTGATCTACAAAAACTAATACAAATTTTATTAAATTTATTTATTTATTTTTTAATTATGAAAATCGACTAAAAATGCCTATAATCGACTTCACATCTTGAGCACAAGATGTGAAGTGCGCCACCAACATTAATTTTTTTAAACCTTACTTTGCTTGCATGCATGCAACAAGCTAAGTAAGCAGTGTGCAGAAAAAAAAATCGTTCACATGGGTTTGTTGACGGAAGTCACGGGCGATGCAATCGGTAGTTAAGGCGAACATATTTAATTTGGTTCTTTTTAGATAATAAACAATGTTTTAGATATGATAATAATAATTTACTATGAAGCTTAGACAAATAATAGGTTACAACCTAGGCTTCAATTGGCAGATGTTTTAGGCCTAGCCTACTAGACCCTAGCCTAGCTAGTCTGGCTAGGCCTAGTACCTGTCTAGGCCTAGGCTAGGCCTACTACTGCACCAGCGGCCGCCTACAAAACGTCTAGCCCCAGCTTTAAAAGACCAAGGCCTATCAAAATAAATATTGTACAAACAAATCTTTTATGTAAAATTGAGTTTCTTTTATGGCCTTTTTCTGTCAAAGATTTGGCTTGCTACCAATGCAGTTTTTGAAATCTCTAGGCCTAGCCCCTAGCTAAGCCTGCCCAGGCTAGCTAGGCCAAGGCCAGTCTGGCAAAAAAAAAAACTCCCCCACCCTCCCGCCCCTGAATATTTCTGAGGGTGTGACACTAAACAAGTATATTTTTGTAAATTTTCAAAATAATATGATATAAATTAATATAAAATAAATTTTATTTATAAATATTTTATTTAAAAATTCCAATAAGCAGTACATATTTAATATGAAAACAAAATCACAGATACAAAATAAAAATTAAATGAATGATAAACTTAATTTATTTTAAAAAATAAATTAAGTATAATATTAAATTTTTATTTTGTATCATGATTTTTTTTCTTCATATTAAAAATTTTCTGACACTGAAGTGAATAAATGTACAAGGTATAGAAATCGATTTTTTATACTCACTTACTACACTCACCATAACAGAAAATATTATATTAAAACATTTAACACACAAATTTATAGAAGTATATCAGTTATTTTCATACAATTTATTTTCCGAAAATAATATGTTGAGTTGGTATCAATATATTTTACTAGTTGAGAAGCTCATTTTGCTAGTTACATTTTTAACAACTAGCACATTTTAGCAATAGGTTGCTAGTGGCTGAAAAAGTAAATTTCTAGCCCTGGTAACATATGCCAAACATTGCAAGTTGCCCCGAATGATGTAATATCCCAGCATTCTGACTGGTTTACAACTTGCAATGGACTCAACATACCTTACTCGCCAGCCTGTAGTCGGGCGCACACATGGTTTGGGATGTTACTCTGCGAAATATAGTTTCGTAATTGGAAGGCCTAGCTGTTACCGGTTAGTTCGATGTTGTTTTGTTGTTACGTTTTTTGTTGTTGTTGTCAAAACAAGAAACATCCCTTGTAGAATTATATATTTTTTATATATCTTATAGATTAAATTAACCAATTAATTCAATTGTTGCACCTTATTAATTCCAAGTTTAAAATTTAATCTTTAAATATTCATTTATATACAATTCAATTTTTATATTATTTCAAAACACGATTAAACAATCATTTTGCTTACATTCTACTGATACTTTTTTAAGAACGAAATAAATTGTTTGATAGAGGCCCATTACTAGTTGCCTATGAAATAACTCTGCTTACCGTCTACTACATTCAGTAAACGTTCCCAATTCCAGGCTCCTTCTGATAGACACAGACACCGAGGATGCCAGACACAAAGTCATTTGACTCTTTGTACGCCGCTGATACGAACAAAAGTAGGTCAGAAGCCGACTGGCTCATTCAGTAAATAAATGGTAGTAAAGGAGTTGCTTTCTATATTATTTCATTTAATTAGGTTTCAAAATTTGCTGTGAGACCTATTTGTTTGTTTGTTTTTTTGTAAATTTCAAGATGTTGCTCATTGAGATGAAGTCTGGCTGAGGTATCATCAAAGTGTATTTTATACCCTTTGTTATCATCAGCCATGTGATTGAAGAAGCGTAATCTTTTTTCATAATGTATGAGGTTTAGGTAATTCGTTTGGTTTTCAATAAAAGATGTCTGCCTTAATACCGGTAGTACTTTAAATATAATCATCCAGATGATGCCTAATTGTATTTATTTACGATCTATTTAGAGTTAAATTTTGATTGTTGCTTGATCTGGGCCGTTTACATTGTATGAGTCAATACTGTATACGATCGTTTGAAATTTCGGTACATAGTCTATTTTTTATGAACAAATATGTTAAGGAAATGTTCACAATTACGAGGAGGTACAGGTAAGTGTAGCACTCAACAAAAATAGTAAATAATAGTAATGGTAATTAGTATTTACCAAGAATAAGATGAGCACACATCGACACAGTTTTAGTGTACGACATCACACTATAACAGTCTAGGTCATGCTGATTGGTTGATACAGTACATGTAAAATGAATGATAACATGTTTTGCGTACTGCCTGACTAAAAATAATGGGCTGTACAATGGGTTGTAAATAATTGGGATTTGGAGGGAAACCACCTTCCTGCCGCTTACAAAATCTACTCGCGCAATCAAATTACCTTGTCGCACTGAGCGCGACAAAGTTGAATTCCTTGTCGCACCTTAAAAAATCAGGTTGCAAATGCGACCAAATAACCTTTAATTTCAAGCCCTGGTTAATGCAATCTTGAACATACGGTATTTGTTAATGGAATAAGTTGTTAAATATTTTAAACGCAATTGACATGCTGTTTATTTTTCAACAAAAAGCCTCCAAAGTTGCGCACTATGCATGTCCCGATTGGGTTTCTTAAAAATTTCTAATGTCATAATTTGTAAAATAAATAACTTAAATAAATAACTATACCACAAAAAGGTGAATACAATAGGTGTCTCAGAGTTGTAAAATTAAAAATGACATCAATAGAACTATAAATACTTAAAATTTGACTTTGTCCCTGAATTGTCGTCATCTCCGTCACAATACTTTAAAATGCCATTATACTGTTAGCAAAATGACATAACACGTTATGAATCAAACCATTTTGGTTAAAGGGGACCATACAGTAAGAAACAGTCCGTTCTTGTACAGTTAAATCACCTATAGCTGAAGAATTCATGCAATTCTAATACAACTGGAAAAGTACTTCTTTATTCACCATCATCTCCGAACGCTTCAGAGTATGCTTTATTTATTATTTTTTTAGAAAAAAAATAATTATATATATGATCAGAACTGTGTCATTTTCAAAGTGCACATGGCATTCTTCACCTGTAACACACTGCATATGGCACTATATGATCTAAAAAGTTTAATTCTTCATCTCCGTCACAGTCATCTCCATCACAATTTTACTGTGATGGAGATGACTTCTTTATGTTTTCTTTCCTCAAAAACGAATATAAAATAAAAATGGCAATTGATCTGGTTTATGTTGTTAAAAACCTTTTTGCTCAATGTTTATTATCCTATATTTAAATAATACAATCTATCTTTTAAATTTACTAGGATTCACATTTATGAGTATATCATCATCTCCGTCACAGAAAGTATGATGGAGATGATTTCTTGATGTTTTCTTTTCTCAAAAACAGCTATAAAATAAAAATGGTAATTGATACGACTTGCGTTGTTCGAAACCTGTTTGTTCATTGTGTATTACCCTATATTTAATTAATACAATTTATCTTTCAAATTTACTAAGATTCACATCTAGACCTATGTGTATATCCATCATCTCCGTCACAAAAAAGTGTGATGGAGATGATTCTTGAAATATATGCTACAGCACTGAAAATTGAATGCTTAAATAACCGTTTAAAATGCCCTAATTATCGTGCCGAATGTTTATTAAAGTTGTTATATGGCATAATGGTGATATGTGTAATAAAAGAATTACAAATGTGAAACTTTTTTTTCCATGATTTCTAAACCTCTAAAATGGCACATTAGCGAAGAAGACCCGTGTACGAGTTCGCCTAATTTGTGTACGAGTTGGCAGGCGTACGAGTTGGTATTTGTACCAGTTAGGTTAGCCGACACCCCTAGGCCTGGTAAGGCAGAGTATGAATTGCTCTTCTAAAAATCAAACGTCTTAGGCTTATAGCATTGCCATTATGCATGAGCTTGGATCTTGGCCTAGGCCTATTCTAGCATTGACTTACGTTTTGTTGAAGGGTAACTTGGCCGTGTGTCAGTTCGTAAACCTGTAGCGCTCCGGTGCCGCGTGGGTGGTTGCCTAGAACAACCAATTTAGCACTGCGAGGGATCCATTTTGTATCAAATAAAGTATAATTCAAAGATTTTTGCAAATGTACAATTATTTGAGGTTTTTCCATAGTCCTTGTCTCCAATGAAAAATACAAGATCGTGTCCTACTAAATACCACACGGAACACACGGGACCACTCGGGAACACACGGGTGCAAAAATGATAAAAATTTTGCGCCGTGGCTAGAGATACGGTACCGTATCGGAACTTCCGATTGCTAAAGGTACGGTAAATGATATTACGTCATGATTAGCCAATAGAAACGCCGATGCATGCGTGACGTCATTCAGTGCACTGCTGCTGGAGTGTTTTAGCATGGAGGTAAAAAAATAATCGTTTTAGCAACGATCGAAAAAGAAATTTTATGT